CAGCTCCTGCTGGACCCAGTGGGCAGAAAACTCACATGATTACAGGGCCTGACGGATGACGTTATGGAAGTGAGCAGGTGAGGTGGAGACAAAAATAATATTTCACTTTCTTCTTTACTATAAAAAAAAAAAGATATGGTTGGTGATAAATGGCCTTGGTGACACTGACAAGAAGGAGAGGAGACCCTAGGTTGGTCTGGGATCTACAGGGATCACTGCTCCATGGCATGCAGAGTGCCAGCTCTGTGTTCAAGAGACATGGAGGGCCCAAATTTCTATGTGAACATTTTGAATCTCATTGACACGTACTTCAAATTTCTAAAAAGCATGCGAGAACCCAGTAAACACTTGTGTGCACCATTTTGTCCCCTGACCTCCAGGATGCCAGCCATAAATGCGCAGCAGATCTGCTGTGGGTTTGCTCTTTTCTCCTCAGTCTGGCTGTTTTCTGAAGCATTAGGATGCAGGTGTGGAGTCTCAGAGTAGCCATATATACAAGAGGTGTTTCTGTGTGGACGCTGGGGGTGCGCGCTCAGGTAAGCGCGAGGGTGAAGGGTGGGTGAGAAGGGTGGGCGTTCACGTCCTTGAATTCGGGGAGGTCCGACCTGCCAAGGTGAGGCAGCGGTGCAGGAAGGATAGGAAATGTCCCTATGGAAATCAAGGTTTATGCGTGACCGCACTCTGGGAGTCTCCCTGAGTTCAGGCAGGCCTTCTCCTCTGTCCCTGATCAGCCAGGACAGAGGGACAAGCGCGAGGACAGGGAGGTGGACCCGGGGCCAGCTGTGGCGCGTCGTCCGTGCAAGTAACGCTACATTCAACACAGATGCGGGACCCTGATCCAACCTTCTACCCCGGGGAAGGGCGGGATCCCGGGGCCCAACCGCACCGCAAGAGAGAGAAAAGGCGGCCCGCTGCTGCCCGCGGACCTCTGCGAGCTGTTGCCATGGCCATAGGGGACTTTTGATGTGAGGCGCGGGGACCAGCCCCCTCCGCTTCGCGTCCCAGCTCGCCTTCGATGACGTCATGGACATCGGCGGCCCTGACAGGCCACCTGCGGGTTGGCCTCGGCTTTAAAGCAGCTCTTCTGCCCCGGCCCCGCAGCCCTGCGGACGGTGACCGCGCCAGCAGGATCCCTGGGCTCCGTACCCGCCTCCCGCACTGACGGCGCGGCCACACTCCGGACAGAGCCGACGGCCAGAGAGAGGCAAGTATTCGAGGGGCGCTTCATAAAATACCTTCCGCAAACCCCAGCCCCTCGACCCTGCTCTGCAGCTCTTGCGGGAGAAGCGACGAGCCAAAGGCGGGTGGTTAAGGGGGGCTTTCTTCCAGAAAGACGCGGCGAGCAGCGGTCTTCCTCGACGCGGCGGTCCATGCCAGGTAGAATCCCACCAGGGTCCTTGGTCCAGTCCTCCCCGCAGGCCAAGGGCTCGATACCCGAGGAGCGACCACCCGGAGCTGAGACCCGCGAGGCTGAGCCTGGGGCAGCTTCGGAGGGCCGAGCAGGGGGCAGTCGGGCCCACATCTGCCAAAGACGCGGTGCCCGCCGCCACGTTCACCAAGAGCGAAGCTGTGAGGGCGCTTGCACGGCTGGAGGCGGCCCCGCAGTCCGGCAGACGAGCGCTCCCGCGGTGCGTGGACCAGCTCCAGTTGTGGGGGCGTCTTATTCTGTACCCACCTGCGCGGCCACTCCGAAGCACGGCTTGCGGTTTGTCTGGCTCGGTCGAGCGCCCTCCCGGAGATGGGCAGCACCGCAGCCTGGTGACTGCGCGCTCTCCCGACCCAGTCTCCCCGAGCCCGCCGCCGCCGCCGCCTGGTCTCCACGCTGATTGCCCTTCAGATTCCGGATGCAGCAAACCTGTTGCATGCAGAAGGGCGGCGGGGTTCTGTGTTCCAGGCCTCTTCTTCCTGCCTTGCCCGCCACCGCCCCGCACCGCTAGCGCCGGAGTCCCGGGACTCTGCCTGCAGGCCCCCAGAGAGCCCGCGCGCAAGGAGAAAATGTGGTAAGTGCCGGGGCACAGCTGGATAATCATCCCAGGGCAAACGGCTCTTTCTGTCCGCTGCGACTGCGACAATAACCCGGGGAAGGGAAAGGTGAGGTGCAGGGGATGACGCCCCGGAGGGAGCCCGATCTGCTGAAAACGGGCATCTTTGCACTCTTCTAGCCTCGCCTTTTTCGACGGGAACAGAGCGCCTGCCTTTCAGGTCCCTACCTCAGGGGTCAGAATCGGACCGCTGAAGGTCCCCAGAACCCGTCCAGGGCGCATCCGAGCCTCCAGTCTCAGCACCAGAGGCTGGACAGCGCCCTGGACGGAGCGCCCAGCGTGGATTTCCAGGCGCGGCTCAGCCCCCTAGGCCGACGCGGCTGGCGCTCTGCTCAGACCCCAAGTGGAGGAGGCCGGAGGCAAGGCAGGGTTGGCCGAAGAATGGGGGGGGACTCATCTTCCCCATTTTTGCAGGGTTTTGGGTGTCGGAGTTCAGGAGGGCATTCTATCTCCCCCTCGCTAAAACCGATTGGGATAATTTGGTGCTAAGTGCCGGCAGCGTGCGGAAGAGACAAGAGGCGCGACTGTAAGCGGTGAGTTAGGACGAGCGGGCCAGGGGATCTGCCGGGGATCTGCCGGGGATCTGCCGGGGATCTGCCGGGAATCCCAGCCTGGTAAGCCGTGTTCCCCCTCTCCTCCGTCCACCCCTACTCCTCCTTCTCCCGCTCTCTCCCCACAATCTTCTTACGCCTTGACGCGGTGAATGAAGGGGAAAGGGTGGGACGGAGGGAGAAAATGTTGGGATATTGAGGCCGAGGTAAGAAGCACATTGTATCTGGGTCACAATCATCTGGGTGGTGAAATCTGTCCAAAATGAAAATCAAAGTGCGCACTTTTTAGCCAAAGGAGCCCAAAGTGCCATTTGTAGGAAGAGCAGAACGACTGTTTTGCCAGAACGGGGGAAAAAAAAAAAAGCCGCGGAGAAGTTATCACAAAGGGCAAACGGAGGTGGGGGAGGAGGAGAAGGGACAGGACCCAGCGCTACAGTGCGGTTACTAAGCAACCAGCCCCAGCCTCCTGTTGCCTTGGTTACAGTGCGTGAAGGGGCTTTGGCCCCTGATTATCTGTGAGCACCTTGATTAAAATATCTGCTGGGGAGTCCCTGCCTGGCTTCCCTGGTCTGGGTGGGAGTCACAGCCGCTCCCACAAAATCCCTGGGGGGTAGAGAGGAAATCCTAGACGGTGAATTTTTCCTTTTAAGTCAGGGTGCAAGGCGAAGCAGCTTCCTTTCCACCACCGCTATCCTTCCCATCCTCTCCCATCTCCCTTCAGAGAGGCAGTCTCGTATCCTACCCTGCCTTTTCTCTGGGATTTGCAATTAAGACCTTTCCCATCTTGACCCCCATACCCCCCCAAAAAAACAAAAACATGTTTCTCCTTGGTTTAGGAGTGGCTCCTCCCCCCCCAAGCACCTCCATTCAAGGGAGGGAAGCTGAATTCTAGATCACTCACTCTTCTCACCTCTCTCGAGAAAACAAAGTAGGTAGAAACTTCCTTAGCAAATGACCACTAGCATCGCCTCCATCCGGTTCCTCAGGATTCTCTCTCCTTCTCCAGCACTGCCTTCCTTATCAGTAAGCACAGCACTTGACGCTTCCCATCTCCTGATCTTTCCCGTCTTCCTTGCTTGATAGACACTGACTCAGCTTTTCAACCGTCAACCTTGTCTGTGTTCATTTGTAATATCTGGATGGGAAATCATTTTACCTATAATTTCTCAAAGGCAACTGGAACAGTCTCAGAATGATCTAAAGGGAAATCACTAGTAAGTTAATGGGACAACCGTTGTTCTGTGCACTCTTTCTTCTAGAATATTTCTCCTTAAGAGCCATGAACTGGCTATTTCCAAAACAAAACATTGTTTTAAACTGAGCTGTGACTTGATCACATGGTCATGGAGGAAATCTGTTTCAGGCAGTAACTCAACATATTTCTGCCTACAATACCCTGCATCAGTAAAAACACATATCTTTCATTTTGTTTTCTTCACCTTTTCCTTCACTCATTGTTAATGTGGGGAAAAAAATTTCTTAAATCATTATAATTTTAGTCTAAATTGAAGGCCAAAATTTCCCTCCTGTGGATTTGTTAGATACATTTTGGGGACATTTACATTAAAATGCTTTTCCCTCACATGTTACTGTAGAAACTTCCTTTTTTAGGCCAGACCAGATAGCTGGTCTGCTTTTTGTACTTTTCTTTCCAAAGAAGTGTCTTTATGAATTTTCTGGCACAGCTATCATTGATCATATCAATAATGTCTCATAGACTATAGCAACCGTGTTTTTTTAAAATTATTATTCCCTTTCAGCTCATTTTCTATATGGATATAAGGTCTACTTTCCTATCAAGAGAACTGAGATCTTATTGGTCAGAAAAGGAGAAGTATTCTTTCACTGGTTAGTATGTATTGCGTTGTCAACCAATCAAAAGATGCCATTTACCCTTTTCTGACTAGTTGAGTGAGCCTGCACTCAGAATAACTGAACCTGCTTAGTTCCAACCAGTAGCAAAGGATTAAACTCAAGAGTTCTGGGATCTGGAACGTGCATTGGCTAATCCAGGTTGCACTTGCCTTCCAAGAATGAATTTGGCTACCTAGTTATTTGTAGCTTACCTAAACACATAATATATTCCATGGATTTTTTTTTCATTAAAAAAAAATATCATGATCATCTTTCCAAGTCAGTGTAGGTTATTGGTATCAGCACCAAAGGTCCAGGGATCTTTGTGATTTTACCTAGAAGTACAGAATTGGTCCCCCACCCCCGACCCTGTTCAAACCCCACCCCCATAGAATTTGGTGAAAACTTTTGGGTGTGGGGATAGGAAACTAGCAGAGGGAAGAGCTATGTTACCTATGATGAACAGATATCTCAGCTTTTGGATTCATTTGTCCTACTCTGGTGTATCTGGTAGTTTTATTTCTTTTTCTAACTTTAATTCTTCACAGCTGACCTTTGGCCTGTATTTTCATTGACAAGTAAAAAAGCGGGCTGGATGGAAACACTGACCCTCCAGTTCAGCATAAGACCCATCACTTCCCGAGAAGGTAGGTGGCGGGCAGGTGGCGTTGATCCCTGAGATTATCCCAGCCCCTCTTGGTACTGGAGTTGGGCAGGTCATTTTGTCCTTCTCCCCGCACCAAACAGCCCTATTTAGGGATGCTGGCATCAGTTTCCACTTCTCCACAAGGAAGGGGCATCAAAGTCTTCCCCCACTTGCAAGACAGAAACTCTGTCAACAGCCTGGAGAAGCTTTAATGTGAGTACAGACCCTCCTGGCCAGGCTTTTCTTGGTCCTTGGCTGGTGGGGGTGCTGGGACTGGATAGGTGCTTGATCATGATGGTGCTATCAAGAGCCACCTCCTTTAGTGGCCCCCCTGTGCCAGGGTTTCAGGGGCAACAGGAGCCCTGGTTCTAGACTATAAGCCCTTCAATATTAAGGGCTAAGTCTTGTATATTGTTGATTCCCTGGAGTTTAAAATAGGAGTTCAACAAAAGTTTGAGCTAAATCCTAAGGCTAGTATGAGGACAAGTCCCTTGACTTCCTCTTTACGATAACGGCAGCTCTAGCCGGGACCCTCCCCCACCTCTCTCTTCCAAGAGCTTCATATTACCAGCTCTTTGCACAAAAGATAAATGAAGGCTCGGTTAATCATTACCATGGTTACGTGGAGTGGCCACACTGAGGATCCCTATCATCCATTACAGTCAGGAGGAAAAAGAGAGGAGGGGCTTGGGGATCATTGTTATGGAGGAAACCATGGAAACCAGTGTTGCTAAGGGGATGGCTCTAAATTCAGAGGAAAGAAACCAGAAGTGGGGAGAGGGAGGTGGTGGACTCAAGGGCAGATCATTGTTTCAAGGTCCATTTCTCAGACTCTATCCCAATCTCCTCTGCTATTTGCATCTTCCCCCATCTCAGTCAGAGCCCAGAGTAAAGAATTTTGGAAAACTGGGGCCATTGTCAATCTCAAGTCCGGTTTCACTGGTCCTGCAAGGAAAAAGCCAGTGAAAATGGATCTATTTGTGTTCATACCTCATGATCAAACCCTCTCTCTGAACCCTGCCTCTTTGCCACCCAGTTTCATTACTAGGAGACAAGCTCTGTGCTAGGCTCTGGGGGCAATGATAATGAGCAATAGAGTCCCTGCTGTTACGGTGAGCTTACAGCAGGACAGCCACTGGGCAGCTTTAGGGCCACGTTTATTCACAGGGGCTGGCCTGGACTCCAGTCCTGCATGGCAGAGCCCAGAGAGCTGCCAGGATTCTCTCCAAACTCTCTCTGTAATAACTTCTAGCTTACCTGTTACCAGAGGACGCTAACCTGAGCACTCTGAGAAAGGCGTGTTTTTCCTAGGAATGCCTAGGGTTCTAACCCTCCAGTTCACACCTTGCATCTTAGGCTTTTTCTCTGACATGAGCACTCAGATCTTTGTGTCTGAAACTGTACACTGAGGATGATGTGCTAGTCCTCTCTCAGCGGTGACCAAAGAGACTCGGGGTTATTACTGTTTTTTTTTTTTTAAAAAAAGAGACTAATGGCAACAGCTTCCTCTCTCTTCCTTGATGGGCTAGGTGGGGGGTGGGGGGTCTCTGCTCCCTAAAGCTTGCAGAGCCAGCACCCATTGGGGAGTGGAGAGAAGAGGGTCCTAACAGCCTCCTGGGGAGGGATACCCGTTCCCTACCCCCCCACCCCCACCCCCAACCCCACCCCGCTCCACAGAGCTGTCAAGCCCACCTGTCTAGGGCTGACAGCTGCAAGGGGTTGGGCTTCAGAGCTAAGCACTACCGGTCTTCACATCCCCCCTCTATGTCCTCAGGCGAGCCCTCCCCCAGGCTGCGTGGAGAGAACAAACAGAAGGTTGGAGGGCTGGACTCCAGGAGAAGAGTTCTCCATTAAAAAGAGAAAGAATTAAAAGCAGCACCAATAGGGAAGGATAATTATCCCTCAGCTGCAGCAGAAATACAATTAGGGCTGTGCTCTGTGAGCCGCCAGGATGTTGTGGCCTTTGCTAATTAAGAAGCAGATATGCCCTGCCAGTGCGATTAGGGCTGGCCTAGGCAGGGGGGGTGCGGGGAGCCTTTGCTTGTGCTCCATCCATGCTCTGGACTGGGGAAATTAAACGGGGACCCCAGCGCTGGGCCTGTGGGGAAGGGGCCTCAGGGCCAGGACTCCACCTTCCGCTTACCCCCATCCATTTTGCCCCGCTGCATTCTGAGCTGTGACTACATCAGCCCTGGGAGGATTTGTCACTACGGGCCATGACTGTAGACTTGAAGGGGACAGGGAGCAGGCCTGGTAGGGAGGGCTCACCGTTACCTGAAGCTCCTCCTTTCCCCCAGCTCACAGTGCCTATGATTAATGAAGAAGGCAGAGAAATGAGCTGCCTACCTGCCTGCCCTCCCTTTAAATATAAGCTCTTGTTATTAAAGGAAGTAGGTTCATTATAGAAAGTGGAATGCTCCAGAGAAAAAGAAAAAGAGAATAAGAAAACAATACCCCCCAATTCTGAGCAGAGGCTGGGATAACTGGGAGGCGGAGGGGTGGAGGGAGGCGACGGGCCGGTGGGAAGGAGCACGGGCCCTGCAGGGCTCCCGGCTGGCTGAGGGTCACGGGCCGCAGGAAGGCCCGGTGCGGCGCAGACCGACTGGCCCCGTTTGGAAGACTAGTGATTTTGTTGTTGTTCGGCTGTGCTCAACAACAAGTCCCAGTCTGCCGCACGGTGCTGGCCTCCTCCTCGGGATGTGGGGCTGGGCTGCACCCCACTTTCTGGCTCCCCTTCATGCACTTTTTCTGTGCCTTCTCTGTCTCCTAGAAAACTCCTCTGCACACGCCAGGGCAGCACATCTTCCAGAAACAAGAATGGACTATAGTGCAAGTGAGAAGCTGTGGGGAGAGGCGCAACCTCATGGACAGGGTCTCTGTCCTTGGGAGCCCCGGGCCGCTCCACACCGCTGACTATAGGGCAGGGAGAGAATCGCCCCTTCCCCAGTTACTCGCTGATTCCCCCAACAGCAGGTTTTGGTTGAGCATCCACAGGGCGTGTTACCAAGTGCCCCACACCCAGTGCCTCACAGGAGAGAGCCGGGTGTGCGCAGGCACAAATGGGTGTGTGCTCATGACCGAGGTGCCCTGATAGCAGTTTAGAGGACACGTTCCCCCCTGGCTGGCCTGGAGCTTATCTGGTGCCTAAACAAGTGGACTTGTATGGATGGAACTTTTGGGCCTAAGGTGATTACCGAGTCCCAGAGATGAGACCCCCCGTGGGGATACGCCGCTCAAACAACAAACTCAGATGCCCTTCCTAGTCCTTTCCAAGTCTATCCCACCCTCCTCAGCCACACAGCAGGCGTAAGGCACCCCTGGGGCCCTGCTGCCAGAATGTGAAGGACTCAGCAGCCTCCGGAGGCAGAAAAGGATGGAAATTCTTTTCCTTTAGACACTAATGCATCTTACCGATTTAAATTGGGCTGGCAGTTGTACTCCCTTAGGGAGTGCTAAAAATGCAACCGTTAGTTGAGCTTACCCTTCCTTCCTCTACCACTTGCTTGCTGTGTGACCTTTGGCAAGAAACTTTACCTCTCTGAAGCAGTCAGTCCTTCACTTCCACCAGAGGCTGCTTCTGTCATTCCTTCAGCAGCTCCTTCAGCTCCTCCAAACTGGCTCTCTTCTCCCCCATTTCCTGCCTCTTAAATTTCCCTTTATCCCTCACCCTGCCTAAAGCCAGTGGGCAGCCGGTCCTATTAGAAATCTCATTCACACTTGAGGAGGCTGCAAACGGCATCACTCGGTGGGTGTCTGCCCTTGACTGGAGGAGAGGGCCCTGGACTGGGCAGGAGGGGTGGAGCCGGGGAACAGTGGCAGAAGAAGGGATTCGAGTCTCTCCCAGGCAGCCCTCCGCATCCAGGGCTGGTGCAGAGACAGAAGCCGAAGAATCCTGCCTCAGTGAAACAGACATGCGGGGAGAGAAGAGGGGTGCACTCCTGATCTGAAAGATGGGTAAGAGAGCCCCTGTTAATATGTAGCAGGGTTTAAACCCTGTAGCGGAAGCTAGGCACTCCTGAGAGCACGAGGTGGGGAGGGAGTCCTGGCTTTGAAGTCAGACACACCCCAGATCCAATCTGTGCTCCACCACTTACTGCCTCTGTGACTTTGAGCCAGTTACCTGACATCTCTGAGCCTGATTTCTCATTTGTAAAATAGAATGTATCACAACTGCGGTACTAGGTTGTTATGATAATTAAACTAGAGAAGTGTCATAATACATAACGACATATGTAAATCTCAATATCTCTCCCTCTTTTTCCCTCCCTTGACTTGGGTCACCTGCAAAACTCCTCTAAAATAGGAAAAAGCGAGACCCACCGTCTTTCTATGCATCTCCCCTGTTGTATAGGACTTTTATCTCATATAATGTTTCTCCTCCTCCCCAGATCAGTATCTTGTCTACTTCACGAGGCTCAGCACCCACTGAAAGCATGAATAACGGCCAAGTCCCCTCACTCCCTGTTTTATAAATCAGAAACCAAGGCTTAGGGAGGTTGTGACCTCTAGGTCACTCAGAAAAACAGCTTCTTACTTCCTAAGGTAGCTTTCTAGGTGTCTCAGAACACAAGAGGGTCGGTGATCCGAAAGTCAGGGCACCTGGGTCCCCTTACCTTAACTTCACGCACCGGAGCTGGGCAGCCGGCAGGCAGGTTTCCAGCGCTCACATTTGGTTCTCTGGATGACAGGGAGGCAGCGCCCTCTGCCGGAGTCTCTAGGTAGCTGTGCTTTAGCGGCTCTTCTGACTTGGCTGCAAACCAGAGTCATCTGGCGCGCTGTAAAAATCTCCAGGTTTAGGCCCCATCCCGCACCGGTTCAATCAGAATCTTGGGGTGTGACCCAGGCGTCAGTATTTTTTAAAGCTCGACAGGCGATTCCAATGCTCAGCTGAGACTGAGAACTAACTTTATATGTGAAGTAAACCATAGTCTCAAATGGAACAAGTCATAGCGGAGAATAAAATTCTCCTGGATCAAATCCCTCCAATTTTCCATGAACAATCAGTCATGTGAAATTTAACCTGAGTCTAAGAATCTTGGAAATTCTCAGGAGTTGAGGGAAGGTAAAAGGGGACCAAGAAAGTGTCTTGGTGACAGGCTAGCCTGTGTCCAGCTGGGTCCAAAATCATTGTTCGATCAAGAGTGCTAATGAGACAGGGACTGTGAGCTTAGACACAGTAGGGTGGAGGCCTCTGGAAAAGGCAAAGCTTTTTAAATTACAGTCAGAGCAATGTAACTATATGCAAAGAAACCCTCTACCAAAACTCCCTGCTAAACATTAAGCTCTAGAGTCATTCTTCAATGAGATCAGTTAATATTCCCCAGATAAAGGAAAGTATCTCAGCATAGCCCAAGTTTTTATTATGCTAATCATTTGTAATCATGTGTGAGATTCACCTTAGCGTGCAAAAAGGCCCAGGCGAATATGCTGTTTTTCCACCTTCAGACCTGATCAGGTGGTTTGCAACCTGGGCAATTAATAATGGCAAGCAAGCCCAGCCATAAATAATATAATAAAAGCAAGAAAGATTCCACCTTAGATTGCCTTTTAAACTCTTTAGCAAACAGACAACAACTCAGTCCACCTTGAGGGCAGGGCAGGCAGTCTTGATTGATGATTGATAGGCTCCCAGACCAAGAAGATGCTATTCTGGGAAAGAAATCTGCAGTAAATTTCTCATGTTAATTTTGCAGAATTACCTGGAGGACTGATGAGAAGGGACTTGATGTCTCATCAAGGATGAACATTCTAAAACCACTTAACAAGTCTACACCCCTTAAGCCCTTCATCACATTCCCGAAAATCCTCAGCTGCCTATAAAACCCCTAGACAATGCACAACTACTGGCTCTCTTGTCCCCTTCTGGCACCAGCCAGGAGCTTTGTCCTCTCACTTTATCTCTAAATAAAAGCCTCTCCCTGGCCTTCCTACCTTGAGTGTTTGCTAAGTTCATTCTTACACTCCTCAAACAAGAACCCCGGCATCACTAATAGAGAGGGAATTTGCTTGAATAAAATGAGAAAATTATTTGCATTTGGCTTCCAGAGTTTTGTCAGCTTCATACCCTCTGTGGATAAAATGAGAGTTTCTGTGGCCAAGATTCTCACCTGGCCCTGTTGACTAGCTCACTGCACACCTGTGGGCAATACATGGCTGTTGACTCTATATAGAGAGCTCCGCCCAGTGCTCTGGGCGCAACAGGGTAGCACAGCTGCAAGGCTGCAGGAGAGCAGAAAAGAGGCCCAGAGGATGCTGTGCGGGATGACTGTGCAGGCAGAGAGGCCCAGAGGCAGAGACTGGCTGCTGCATGCAGACTCGCTCTGAGTGAATGGGATTCTAGTGACTGACCTGCCACCTGGAAATAAAGTTGGGTATAACTCTTTCACCCCAGGAACGTTTTGCTGTCAATTTCTTTGGTCACGTTGAATCCATAGGGAACTTGCCTGGGGCTGAAACCCTTTGATAAGACGCCCTCTAACACGGAATCTTAAGCTTGAATATGCATCAGGAAGCTGTTAATCAGCTGGTTAAAACAGATTGTTGGCCCCACCCCCTGAATTTCTGTGTCAGTAGGTCCAACAAATTCCCAAATGCTACCTAGGCTGCTGGTCTAGGGCCACTGCTCTCAAAAATGACCAAATTGAAACCCCTTTCAACTCTGCACCTGGTCCAGCAGCACGGAAATCCCAGAGCATCCTGAACAGTCCTCAAAACAGGTACATGAGGCTGGGAGAACAGCCCTTTTAAGTGTGGCAACAATGATTTGTAAGTGCAAAGCAGATCAAGTTGTTTGTCTCAGATGCTTCTGGATTGATAAGGTGGAGGAGGGAAAGGATGGGGCCCTTAGGGGCAGGGCTTGGGTTATGGGCTTTCCCCTGCCAGGCCCGGGCTCAAAGGGGTTGTGATACATAGTAGCCCCAGTTTTTGTGGATGGAGGGGAGATTTTCACTCCAGGAATGGGTGAGGTCTCTAAAGGTGGGGTTGGGAACTACAGCCATCCACAGTTAAAATGCAGTATTGAGCCATCTGTATTTTATATCTGGGACCTTCGGCTTGTTTGCTTGATACTATTTTTTGTCATAAGTCTAAGTAGTTACAAAGGATATATTGTAAATATTGACATATTTTTTTAAGTGTCCTTTAATTTGTGCAATGGGGTGTAAACGCAACAGCCATTTGATACCAACATTATCCATTCCAAAAGTACTTGAAGAAACTCTTACTGACAATGGTGAATTTTATCTGAGCCCTGTTAACGCTGAGAAACAGCAAGGGTGAAGAAATTCCCCTGCCCTTTGGGGTTCCAGAAATGGCTCTGTGCAAAGAAACATACTGTGCCTGAGATAAGCCTCATGGATTCCCTGCTGTTTACCTCTGGATGAGCACATGCTCCGGACAGTCCAAATTCCCATCTTTTGCCTCATCCGCAATTAGCTGAACTGCTCAGCAAATTCATCAGTTGGAACAAAACACTTGTTAACCAAATTTTGGTTAAGCTTTTCTTCTGCCCCCAAGTCTCTAAACTATGCCCACCCTCAGTCAGAGCCAGATTACAGTCCCTCCTAATGACCCTTTCCAAGAACAGGCTGGCCTCAGATTAAACAATCTCCCACCTACTATCTGGATACTATTATCAGGCCACTCCTGTTCATCCCACCTCCCCAAGCCCTGCTCTTTCTAGCCTTGTTTACTCCTATGAAAAAAGTCCTTTTTTGTCCAACACTTGAGAGAGAGCAGACCTGCCGTCAGAGCATTATCCTATTGCAAAAGTCCTTCCCACCCCACAGCCCCACAGTAATCCTCTCAAACAGTCTCTCCTTACTAAATTCAGATTTGTTTTTTATATACATGACATGCAACATTCTTTTTTCTTCTTCAACTTACACTTTGATTCAACTCCTGTTACGGAGTTTTATCCTAGTATAATGTATTTTCATGCTCGGCAATGTTTTCTGGAGCACCCAATCATAATTTTCTGCCACAAAATTATGTATTTTCTTGAAAATAATGTTCTGTGACCCATGTTAACCTGGAAATAAACAGGTTATTTTAATAAACTGCAAATGAGTGTTTATTTGGGATCAGAGTTGCAATTAGGGAGCATAGATTCAGAGGAGAAACCCAAAAAGTGTTATCGCTTAGAGGGTGAGATTAAGGGGTCTTTATGGGGAAAAAGAAGGGAGCAATTACATGAATTGGAAAAAAAGTTTTCCTCTGGGTGTTAACAAGCTAAGCCGTCAAGGTTACACATTGATTATACTGACGCTATCTTTAGGAAGTTCACATCCCTCCGTCTTGCGATCAGGATGTCCATACTCTTGCTGACTTGTCCATCAGCTGCTTAAAACAACTGCTTGTTTTTCCCAGTCCAGAGATTCTGGCTCAGTGCAAAGACTGGTAAGGCAGTTTCTCAGTAGTGGCTGCTCCAGCTTGTTTTACAACGGGTCCCTAGTCATGTCCATTCTTCACACCCAGAAGGTTCTAGGCTCTAAAGCTTCCTTCTGGATTGAGATTGTTGCAATTATTTGTAATACGTAATAATCTTCAAACATAAAAAGTAGAATTCCATTAGAAATGTCAATGGGAAGATAGATTGAGCCAGTTATTTTCATTAAGTAAAAACTTGATGAAATGTATACATTTATAAAATTCTAGGAACGAATATTATGCCTTGCAAGAATGAGAGAGAGTTGGGCCTTCTGTTTTGTTTTAATGGATATAAATACCCATAAATATTGTTCATACAAAGCAGATAGAGGTGGAAGGAGGCTTATTCTGACAATGTGTCTCTCAATTCTTTTAATTCCTGATAATTTTCTATCCTCAAAAAATTATTTTTAATGACCTACTAGTTGACGACATGATTAAATCCTCTGTGAATTGTAGTGAAAGCAAAGAATCAGAAACCTCCTGACTTGCAGAAGGGTTTCTTGCCTACTCCACAATAATAACACACATTCAGGACTCCCTTATTGTTCTTCCTCCCTGGAGGCTACTTTTATTTCCCAGGGTAATGCAGCAGAATGAGATTTACAATGGGTGCATGTGTGAGACTTTCCTTTGTGAAGCAGGCTACAGCTGGTGATAAAAGGGCGGAGGGAAGCTGAACTCCAAGGACACCAGGGACAGGGGCAGGTCCTGTCCCACGGGAGCTGAGGATCTGGCTACTGCCTCCCTTATAACCCTTCTTGCTCCCAGAGTCACCTGTCACAGAGTCTCCCCTACTGAAGATAGCTGCTCTACGTCCCTTTCCTTTCCCTTTATGTCCTATCAGTGTTACCTCCTAAGAAGCTCTGAACTCTGCCCCAAGCTTCATCCTCTCTACCACTCTGGCCGCCAGGGTGACTCAAATCCTCTTTCTCCAGGCCTAATCCATTCTTCTCCACACTGCTGCCTGAGTGAGCTTCCCCAGATGGAATCACCCTCCAACACACACACAGCTTAAATTCCTTCTCTTGGGTGTGGGGGGGTGTTAAGTTTATTTTCCTGGGTTCTTGTCCCTGCCGCAACGAAGAATTGAAGGGCAGAGACACAGAATTGAATCAGAGTCAAAGTTTTATTTGAATGCACTCCAAGAGAGGAGCCGGCCAGTGTCAAGGTAGACAAAACCAGGTTTACATGAATAAAGCAGAGAGGAAGGAAAAATGGAGGAAGGGAAGCTCATTGAACTGCTGCTCAGCCTGAGGGCATAATCCCTTGCCACTCCTGAAGCCAGTGTCACCTGGTGTTCAGGGTCCACTTGAATCTGCATGGCATGGGAACTAAGTCCCTACCACCCCAGGATTTGGGGGAGCTGCAGATAACTGGTTGGAGTGAGATTATGTTCTGAGAATTTACCAAAAGCAAATAAAAGAGAGTTTCAGATGGGCTACTAAGGAGCATGATCATACAGCTGCAGTCCCGTCTGGGTCACCCAGGGGACAAGACCTTGCAAACCCAAATCGGAGCTCTCAGTAGCCCCTCTCTGCTTATCTGAAGTAGGACACTGAGACTGACACACACAAACAAAGATGAGTGTGGGCAACCTCGGAGAGGAGGCATGCTGAAGGGCACAGGGTCTGGGGTTTTATAGGGCTATTTTGGGTAAGGGTCAGCATAAGGCATGATGTATACAGGTGATTCATAATTCCTTTGGAGTTTTGTCTTAAGAATATGGTTATTTAGGTGACTGTTGGTTTGGGACTTCATTCTTTGTCCACACAGGTTTATTTACACTTCTGAGTTCTGTCTCCTGATGTGGTTACAAAGTTACTTGATTAGGGGCTAGAGGAAGAGGAAAAAATAGCATATGGGTTAAGTTAAAGAATAAGCTGGGCCTTTTAGCAGGCTGAAGCCAATGGCATGATCTAATTGATACAATGAAGACATGGGCTGTGCTCCAATACTTCTCCTTATCTGGGGAATATCCAGACATTCTAAGTTACTCCTGGCCTTTGGAACTTCAACTAATTAACTCATTAACTCTGTGAGTCTTTTCTGGCTCTCTAGTTTTATCTGATTAACTCTTTGAGTCCCATTAAGTGGGCTTTTCTGACCTATTCTCCCTCTGCCTGCTCATATCTATTTTCTGTCTAACACTCCCAGCTCCCCAAGGCTTCACGTGTCTGAGTAGAAGGACTTACCTCTCCTTTATCCTGCTTCCCCCAAATCCATGCAGTGGATTCCTTGACACACGTACCCCTGGCTTTCTGGGTACCTTTGTAATGCTACTAGTGCTTGCAAAAAGGAGCCAGGAGTTGGACTGCTTCTATAATGGTCTTTGGCCCCTAATTCTTTCTCCTTAATGTCTTTGTTTGTGTGTGTCAGTCTCAATGTCCTACTTCAGATAAGCAGGGAGGGGCTACTGAGAGCTCCGATTTGGGCTTGCAAGGTCTCGTCCCCTGGGTGACCCAGAAGGGACTGCAGCTGTATGATCATGCTCCTTAGTAGCCCGTCTGAATTTTAGTAGCCCTTATCATTATTTTAATTGTAAAACAAACAATAATAGTACATATCTCATAGAGTTCTTGTGCAGATTAAATGTGTATATTGCCTGGCATAATGAATGTGAACTGTTCATTACTATTGTCATTCACTTTGTGCTGAACTGTTAACTATTCTGCTACCATGCTGGTCTGTGAGCAACTAGTCAGGGCTTACCCTTACTTTGTGTATCCCAGTACTGAGCCCATAACCGGACCTTGATGTCTATGAGTATAGTATTGCAAAAGGACAAATGAAAAAATTGCGCCGAAAGAGCAAGCCTTACTTTCGAAATCTTTCTTTAGTGCCCACCCTGTACATTATCTTAAGGAATCCCAACACCAGAGGAGGTAGGGGCTGCTATTACCTTTCTGCAAATGTGGGTGTGCACTCTAAGACATTCTGCCTTTGGTGGCACGGAGCCCATAGGAGCCTACATCCAGATCCAGGGAGCCGGGTGTTTGGAGCCGGGGGACACAGATGGGAGCGGGACCCAGGAGAGAGATAGACCACATACCCTCCTGTCTCTTTAAAAAATTTCCCGCCTGTTTGACAGATTTAGGACGTAAACCACGCCCCTTTAGGAATCCTCGCCCCCTCTGCATTGCGCTACTACCGGCGGAGAGCCAGGCTATCGGCCAATCAGAAGAGGTCTTAGGCGGGCACGGCCGCCCAGTGAGCCAATAGGCGGGCAGCTCGAGCGGGGCTTGCCCGGGCATGTAGAAGCTGCCGGCTGTCCGGACGCCACGTGCGGGAGGGAGGAGACGCGCCCGGCTTCAGGTGACCTGGGGCCCCTGCTGGGGGCGGCGGGGTGGGGCAGGTTGGCGTGGAGTGTCCCCGGCCGCAGGGCCCCTGGCGAATGTCCGCCCCCGGCCTGCGTGGGGGAACGCCCGGGCCTGGCCGACCGGCTCTTCCGACCCGCGATGTGCAGGCCGCAGGCCCCAGGGCCGGAACGCCGCCGGCCCCCGGTCCCCGCCCGCGGTGCTAAGGCCTGAAGGGGGCGGCGCTGGGCGGCGGGGCTCGGCCTGAGGGCGCCGGCCTGGCCGCCGCGGCCGATGAGTGGCCAACGCCTGCGCTCTCCCGTGGGTGAGGCCCTCCTCCCGTTTGCCCCTCGGACACGCCGGCGGCTGGGGACGTGGTGCGGGGCTCTCCGCGGGCTTCGCTTGCCCCGTGGACCGTTAAGGAGCACAGGCGTCATATAGAGTCCGGTTCTCCCAAATTGGGGTGATTATTAGTATCAGGGCTTGGGGTGGGGTCGCGCGCCCTTTAGAACGCAGATTCTCAGGCCCCGTTTCCTGAAGTGGTAGTTAAGGAGGTGGGCGGGGGGTGGTGGTGCCTGGAAATCAGCGTTTTAAACACGCCCTAGTTGTACCTGGTTAATTTCGGGCTTCGGGAAGCCCGTAACCTAGTTCACCCTCGGTTTAAAATACCCTCGTTTTACGGTGAGGGGACCTCGACTTGGTCCGGTTCATTTAGCTGTTTCGGGCTCTGCCCACTGCCTTCTCGAGCAGCCCACGCGGGCTGGCGACCCCGAGGCCACGGGTGATTCTGACCCGGTGGGTCCTCTGCGGCCTTCGCCCAGACGCCTCTGCCCCTGGGCCCGAAGGCCGGGTGGCCGCCGCTCCCCAGAGCGCTGGCTCGGGGCTGGAGGGAGAAGAGTGCGTGTCCTTGCTGAACCGGGTGTGTTTGGGGGACGCTTCTCCCCCGCCTCCCTGAACCCCGTCTGGGGCCAGGATGGGGGCGGGGCCCTTGATAATTAACTGTGACCTGTCGGCAAGGTCAGGGTGGGTAAAGAGTACCACTTCCTGCCTTCATCCCTGGAAACATCGGGTGCTGAGAACATTTCTCAGGGATGCTAATTTCTTTCGGGCTTATTTGCTACCTTGCCAGAAGGGTCAGGGAGGCCGGGGACCCTAGTCCTGACCTCAGATGCTCTCAGTCCTCCCCCACAGAGGTTCCATATTAGCAGAGTCAGTCTCGGCTTGGCCTCCTCCCCCCGATTGCTGGGCTGAGGCAAACTGAGGTTCTGTTTTTGTCCCCTTTAATACGTGCCTTGTCACCATGAGGGAATCGATTATAGTTAAGAGCCCTTTTAAAAGGGAGGGTGCTTGTTGGGGAGAGGATGAGCACGTAGAAGGGTGAGTCACCGGGCCTCGCCAGGCATCACCCGAAGGCACCGCCCGCCACCCCTGCTTGTCTTCATCTCTGCTACTGTTGCTCAAGTTCTGTTCTCCAGACCTGTTGCTGTGAGACAGTTGTGATCCTGTCACCCTGTCCCTAAAACCTTAAGATTAAGCCCGGGCTTTTTCTCACCTTCCAGGAGCAGTTGTTTCACCCTCCCCACTACCTCCTGGCTTTTCCAGTGCTGCACCAAGCCCTGCCTCTGGCGCTGTGTGTCTGTGCTTTCTCTGTCCGATGCCCTTCTCCTCCGGGGCCCCTCCGCTGCTAGGCCTTCCCTAACCCAGTGTTCCTGCCTGCCTCAGTGGCTGGCCAGGTGAGTCGGGTGCCTGTCCTTCGGCCGTCGCTCCTGTGCTGAGCACACCGTTGTAAGTTTCTGCCTGCCTCTTTCTCTCCCTGCCAAACCAGGAGTTCCCCGAGTTGAAGGTCACTTCAGCTCTGTAGTCCCCATAGTCTTCCAGATAGCAGGCCTGGTGGCTTCAGCTGCCTTCACACATTTCTGAAGAGGATGTGTGATGCCCCAGGTCTTGGGCTGGCCGGTGGGGAAAGAAAGGACAGAAACTAAGGAGGGCTCTGAGGTAGACTGTCTGTAACTTCGAAGAGTGCGGTAAATTCTCCTCTGATTGTGCCTTCTGCGCAGAGGGGTGGGTTTCTTTGTTCCCAGACTGGCTGTAAACATCTGGTATGAGGACTACCGTGCAATATTTCTGCGACCTCCCCAGTTTCCTCTGGGGCCCCTCAGTTGCTCAGCAGAGACAGTCTGGGGACATGAGCCTGGGGTAGGGGTGGCTTGTGGAAGTGTTTGATGGGCTTCCCAGGGTGGGGGCAGGAGGTTAGGTGTTGGAAAGGGAGAGGCAGCCCCTACAGCCGGGACAGCCTTGTGCTTCGGCGGCACCTGGTTGCTTGTGGGCCCCTCTTTCTCAGCACTGGGTTACTTCTCTTTTAGGCCTTTGCCCCTAGCACAGCCACTAATTCCCCTCCCTTCCACCTGGAGGGACCCTGTTATCCTTCAGGCCGACTTAACCTCTCCCAGAAAACCTTTACAGAGTCCTCCCGCCTGTTCGGCTTCCCTAGCACTTCCAGCCCAGCCCTGTACACACGCCTTCTCCTTCGTGTCTGTCTCTGCAGCAAGATAGCTCCTTGAGCCCAGGATCCACCTTTGTAACTCTGTGCTCAGCCCCTGGCACAGCTGAGACCCCAGCGAGTCTGTGTGTGCCATGGGGGGCTGTGCAACCCAGTAGGAGAAAGGGTTGTTCCTGGGGTTTAGAAAGGATAGGAGGATGGAGTGGGAAGGGAGGCGGGGGGTGGGGAGAGCTGTGGATTGGGAGGGCAGTGAGTCCAGGCTGAGGCCACTTTTGCCTGGGAAGAGCTGATTACCTACCATGAGCAAGACTCTTAACCTCCCTGGGGAAGGGGGAGCAGGTACTTATTGAGCCCCTTGTGTGCACCGTGCATGCAGATCCCAGCACACATGCACTGTGTCCTCTCATCTCACACGGGAAGGGTAGTAGGGCCATTTCACAGGCAAGGAACCTGAGGCTCTGCAGTTTAGGTAAGTTAAAAAAGAGCTGAGTTTAACCTTGGTCTGCCTACTTGAAAGCCCTGGTTTTCTGGTCTGTTAAAATGTACTAGCTGACTTAGCACAGTACATGGGATGAAGCTCTCCAAGCTAGATCCCTTGCTGTTGGGAAGATGGTGTCCTTACTGCATGGGATTTGCAGGCTCACGGGGATGTCCTGTAGCAGTGGCCTGGGAAAGCACCCCTTGCCAGCCTGCAGGCAAGGATGGAGAGCTTGGAATGGCCTGGGTGGGCAGGTGCCTCAAGTTTGCAGGTGCTACCCTCAGAGCGTTCTCTCCGTTTTCCCTTTTTTAAGTGTAACTGGTTTCCTAGCACACCATGGCCTTCTGAACAACATGCCCAGCTATTTCAAAATGTTTGTGATACTGTTGTGATTAACTAACTAGAAAGTCATGTAATAAATTACCTCATTTAGGTTAACACATACATATACCCAAAATGCAGCTATTGTGGGCTCCCTCTGAAGTGTTTTCTCGAGGTTCTTCTGAGGGTCTGTGCCCTTACCTTGCATAAAGGATTGATATTTTTTCCAAATGGGATTATATATATATATACTTTTCTTGTAACCTTTATTTTCCCATAAGTCTACCTCTCAAATTTTTGATGCTTACCATATTGAAGGAAAGCTGTGGCTTGAAGGTTTAGACCATGGATTCTGGGTTCATCTCAACTTTTGTCTCGTTAATTGAGCAAATTACTCAATCTTGATGCCTCAGTTTTCTACCTGTAATACGAGAATAGTAATACTTTGTTTGAGCTGTTGGGGGAAGATTGATTCCATGTAAATGCAATAGTATCGACCACATGGTTCAGTTACTAAAATAAGTCCTCAAATCCTTCTGGGAGCCTGAGACAAAGTACGGGCTCCAGGGCAGCCCAGCAGCGGAGCACTGCAGGGAGGGGGGCAGGGCTGGCCTGGCACACTCCTCACCTGGCCCTTCTGCCCTGTGTGTTCTCTTTCCAGGCTGCTGCCCTGTTGGCAGGGTGAGCGGATTGGGATGGTACCCTGCGAAGCCACTGGGTCCGCCCAGTGCCTCAGCCCTTCCCTGGCCAACCCGAATGCCAAGGATGTGCTTCGGAGGAAGCACAAGAGGAAGAGCCGGCAGCACCAGCGCTTCATGGCCCGGAAGGCGTTGCTGCAGGAGCAGGGACTGCTGGGCATACCCCCAGAGCCAGGAGCTTCCCCGCTGCCCATGCTGTCGGAGGCACTGCTGGGCACTGACGCTGCCCGCAGTGGGCGGCAGCGCCCAGGGGCTCAGACTGGAGATGCCCCATGTAGCAGAAAGACCACCCACAGGGAATCCGGAGGGCCCTTGCCCAGCAAGTGTGTGGCTATCGACTGTGAGATGGTGGGCACGGGTCCCCGAGGGCGGGTGAGCGAGCTGGCCCGCTGCTCAGTGGTGAGTTATCACGGCGATGTTCTCTACGACAAGTACGTCCGGCCTGAGATGCCCATCGTGGACTTCCGCACCCGCTGGAGCGGCATCACCCGGAAGCACATGTGCAAGGCTATCCCCTTCCAGGTGGCCCAGAAGGAGGTGAGGACGGACGCCAGGCTTTGGGGGATCAGTGACTGGCTGGGAAGAGCAGCCCTGGGTCTGAGTCACTGCCTAGCCACAGGAGGCAAGGGACTTTGAGAAAGTTACTTCTCCAAACAGGGGTTCCTTCTCTGTAGAAAAGGGTGCATAAAAATCTTGACCTTCTTCCATGTAAGGCTTGCTGAATGTTGTATGTGGTAATGTTTGTGGAAAGGCTGTCAACTGTAAGGTGTGAAATAGCTTACATTTGAGATTTTTGGTTATGAAAGTATTACGTACGTATCACTGTAAAATTTGTAAGGCCCACAGTCCTGTCACTTTCAGGTGTCAGTGATTTGGTGTATTTCCTTATGTTAGTTTTTTAGTGCTTTGAAAAAAATTACTTAGTGGTTGGGACCACACTAATGTGCCAGGAACTCCCAAGTGTGCTTGACGATAGGAAACACCTAAGGACTTGTCAGCGATCTCAGATCTCTGTCCCCAGACTCCTGCAGGAGAGTCTGATCCCGTGGGCCTCCAGGCTGGGGAGGGTTCTGATGTGTGGGTTCCTGATAATCGTCACACTGTGCCGACTAGGGTGATAGAAACCTCAGAGCTTATGGGGAGAATGAGGTTAGGAACCTAACACTCCAAAACTTCATCTGTGAAACCCCAAAAATAAAAAGATGGAAACCTAATAACAATGTTAGCACAGTTTTGTACATGTTAAATAATGAAGAAATGCACATGTGCAGCAATAAGTATGGCACTTGACCCTGAAAAAGATTGGAAGTTTGCTTGTGGAAGTGGGTGTCAGGTTGCAGCTCCTACGGTGGGGTGGGGGTGGGGCTGAAGGATTCACCTGACATCGGAAAGGGGAATGGCCAGGGTGGGTGGCTGTGGCTCATCACACAGGGGAACTAAGCTTGCTGGTGTGGCGTTCAGTGCATTCCTGTGCGGCTCAGTTCAGCAGGGTGCAGTCTTCTGCATTCACTTAGTGTTCTCAAAGGGCGAAATTTGCATTGATTCTCAAATTATGTCCAGGTACATCAGTCATGTCAGAACATTGCAAATGTGGAGTCTCAAGCAGTTACAGCAGAACTGTTTCATGTATCTGGGTTATTCTTGGGATGAGGTAAAGTTGAGAAATCCTGGTATGTGGTTGTCATCTTTGTCCTCCTTTTTCACATAAGGTGTGGCATTTCTTTCAAAAGATTTGGAGGTTATTTATCAAGCAGGCTGACCAGGAATAGAAGCAAAAACAGGGAGGGGGCCTGTGGTGAACCGACCAGCTCCTGGTGCTTCCCTTGGCCTGGTAGGAGGGGCTCCTAAGAGCAGGACCCTTCCTGTCTGCCCAGACTCACCAGTGGAGTGTGCTTGATCCCTTCCCACCGCATGGCTGGTGATTGGGGGGGGAGTGACACGAGTGTGGTGGCATGTCCCTACCATTAAAGTGTGACATACCTAATCCATCTGCCGTGAAAGCTGGGTTTAGCGATAATCCGTGCATGGCCAACAGAGGCCGGCTGTGGGAGGCCAGTGGCTGATGATAAGGACAGCCACACCCAGCAGAGAGGACCCAAGGGGCCTGCAGGCTTGTGGCCCTGCACATGGCCTCCCTGGGACCGGGGCAGTGTGGAGGGCAGGGGAGAGAAGTGTAGGCTGGGTAGATGGTTGGCGCTGAGTGAGAGAGCAGGCTTTGGGAGTGACTAGGCGTACCCTGTAGCAGAGGGGCAGAGGGGCAGAGGGGCGGGATCCTGCCGACAGGGTCTGTGGCTGCTAACAGCAACCGAAGCTGCTGTTCATGGTGTCCCCAGTGGGTCTGTGGGCACTGTGGGTACCTGTGTGCTGAGCATCGCCAGTGAAGGCACATGGCTCTCCGCCAGGCCTGAAGGTGCTGAACCCCCCTGAAGGAGAGAACAGCACAGGTCCCAGAGTCTATGGGGGAGTCGTGGCGAGGCTTCCGACCTGTAAGCTGAAACGGGAGAGTTGGTGACAGAGGAGGGCGGGCTGGGAGGGCTGGGAGGGCTGGGGAGTGTCTCAGGCCGAGAGGAGAGCGTGTGCCAGCAGGAAAGAGGTGAGGTGCGTGTGTGGGGCAACCGCTCACGGCTCCATCCGTGTCCTTCAGAGCTCCAGCCGCCCCGCGGGATGCTCTTGGCAACAGGGCCGACTTCAAGGGGCACGGAGCTGAAGGGCACCCTTGGCTGTAGCAAGCAGAGGGCCTGGATTCTGACTCGGGATGGCTTGGGTGACTTTGGAGCTCACGGTCTCTCCTGTCCCTGCTGCCTCCAGCCAGGGGGAATCCGTGTCCCCATCGGGCAGGGTGTCGGGCTGTGTCGGGGCCAGCCCGATGGGCCTTCCTAACCCCTTTCTCCACTCACAGATCCTCAAGCTCCTGAAGGGCAAGGTGGTCGTGGGGCACGCGCTGCACAATGACTTCCAGGCCCTCAAGTACTTCCACCCTCGGAGCCAGACTCGCGACACCACATACGTCCCAAACTTCCTCAGCCAGCCTGGCCTCCACACCCGGACCCGGGTCTCTCTGAAGGACCTGGCCCTGCAGCTGCTGCACAAGAAGATCCAGGTGTGTGGCGTAGGAGTGGTCACGGGGAGGGGGAAGGCCTGGGGCGGTGCAGCCTCCTTCCCCAGTCCAGGTTCCAGGGGCTGGGACAAAGCACAGTCCCCCAGATGCACGGGCAGCCCTGGGTGTTTCTCCCCACCAGCCTTCCGCAGCGTCATCGTGACAGCCAGCCGCATTTGCGCTTCCAGCAGTGCCCCGTGTATTCCTGGTTCTGTCCCCGCATCTGCGTGTAGCCCCATCTGCGGCAGCCAGAGAGGCGGAGCCTTCGGTCACGGCCGCCAGTAGCTCTTGCTCCCGCTGTGCTTGACACTGATTCCGTCCGCTCCTCGAGCCTTTGGCGATGTTTGCCGTGTTTTATGTTTGAGGTCACAGGCTTGGGAAGCGAGGTGGGTTGTGCAGCTGAGCGTCCAGAACGCCTCTGTCTGATCAGCACCCTGTCTTCTCACTGTACCGAGCTGCACACCCCATTATGAAAGTACGTGTTCCTGGGCCTGCACACGGAGCCCAGGGTGATGGGCCTCTCTCCAGGACTGTGGGCAGTGATGTGGCTTTTGTCTGCAGGTGGGCCACCACGGGCACTCGTCAGTGGAGGACGCTATGACAGCCATGGAGCTCTACCGGCTGGTGGAGGTGCAGTGGGAACAGCAGGCCAGCAGCCTGCAGACCCACCCTGAGGACAGAGAGCCAGACAGCAGCACGGACATGGACCAGTATATGGAGGACCAGTACTGGCCTGAGGACCTGGCCCCGAGCACAAGTGGGGGAACAGCGGGGGAGGTACAGGGCAGGAAGGAGTGAGGGGAGAGAGGCCTTAGGCGTGGGGGGTCAGGCTTGGAGAGCCTGGGCACTTCATCCTGGGCAGGCCGGGTGTGGCCAGAGTGTCCCCAGGTCCTCTGTCCTGACTCCCTGCTCAGAGCATAGCCCTCCTCCCTCCAGGGCTGTTGGCCTTTCCTCCCCAACCCCTTCGTTTTGCTAATGGCACTTTACAGACACTATGAGATAGTCAGGTGGACCAGCCACTGGGGCCCAGCAGGAGTAGAGAAAGCCCGGCACACAGCCCCAGGCTGTCACTGGCCTTCCCCGCCCCGCCCCGTGCTGTCTATCTAAAGGGCCAACCCTCCCTCCCTGGAGGGGGGGGGGTATGTAGGAGCTCCCTTATCTCAGTGACTTGGGGTAAAGTTCCCTTCCTGTTGTGGCTATCTACCTCTTCCTCCAGAATCCTCAGGTTCAGAAGAAATGTGCCCTGAAGCCATTGTAGGAGCTCAGTGCCAGGACAGGCAGAGTAACTGAGCCCACAGGCCCGTGTTGCTTGCTTAACATGCTTGGTGCCTGCAGTCACCGGACACAGCTCGTGGCGGAGGGAAAGCAGGATAAGCTTTGGATGGAGACTGGCATATTTATTTTGACCCAACCAGGCATTCCTCCTGTCCACCTAGCAGTGGGCTCTCTAAGCAAAAGCCTGAGAAACAAGACAGCAGTTTGAGTCCCGAGACACCTGTGTGGAATCACTCCCAAGGGACCTTTGTGTATTTGGAGCAAGGCCACCAGTCTATAGGGTAGCAGAGTGCGTGTCCGCCAGGGCTGGGGCCAGATGTTGGCCCCTGTGCTGTGTGTCCGCACTTGGCCTGGCTTCCCCTTAGTCGCTTTGATTGGCAGTCCCTATGGTTACTGGGTTTTCTCCAAATGTCTGAAAATGTTCTCTCTCAGAATTTCATCCCCACTCCTTTTTGTTTCCTAAGGGGCAGTTTAGGGGTGTTGGGGTAACTAAGAGCTCAGGCCACTTGCCACTGGATAGCTTTGAGACCTTAAGCAAATACGTGACTCCACTCTTGAGCCTGTTCCTCATTTTTAAAACGGGGACGGTGATGCAGCCTGCCTGTCACAGCTGGCAGGAGGCTGATACACGCTGAGCCAGGGTCCGTGTGAGCAGCTCTTTTTTCTGTAAGGATTAGTTTCAGGGTCTCTGAGTAATACCTGCGCACACACACCCCTTTGGTCAGGGGCCGTGGCCCAGACAGAACTGTCCTTGCCTGGCTGTCCCCCAGGTGGACCATGGGGCTGGGTGAGGATGGAATGCAGAGGGTCGGGGTCCTCGCTGGTCTTTGTGGCTGGGTGACCTGTGTATACTCAGCATCCATCTGCTGTGTGCACAAGGTGACAGTGGTTTTTCATGGCAGCCTGAGTAAAACAGCAGGACCAGGAAGGGGGAGAGACACTATCAAAACCACACTACAAGCCAGGGGCCATAGATGACGTTGTGTCACCACCCCCTTGTCTCCAGACTACGGAGCTGGCTGAGTTAGCGACCGCTGCTGGCCTGCCTCTGTTCTCGATTCCTTAACAGTATGTAGCTGGTGCCAAACCCAGAGCTGAGCAGTAGCTTCGATTCTTCAGTCTGTGGGTTGAAGGAAAATGGACCTGTTACCAGTGGGGAAATGTACTGGATTTAAAAACAGCTTTGTTGTAAAACCGTTTGTTCTGGATTAAAACTCAATTGGGAAAGTGGGCGAAATGACCTTTTCTGTGGATTTGCAGGTGAGGTGGGAGGGTGGCTTGGTGGCGAGGTTGAGGGTGCCAGGCCCTGAGCCTTGCTGGTGCTTTGGCCTGTGAGCTGGGGACTTTCACAGTTGTGCTCTGGGGTGTGGCAAGAAAATATTACAGCTGTGGAATTAATATGGCTTATTTAAAATTTTATATAACCTCTGTAATAGAGCATAAAGTAATAGAGCATCTCCCTGATGCTATGTACTCACTTTTAAAAAATCTTTTAAAATAAATGTTTAGTTCTAATTGTGATAAAATATACCATTTATCAGTGTATGGTTCATTAGTGTTCAGTAAGATTCATGTTATTCAACCCATCTCCAGAACCTTTTCATCTTGCAAACCGGAAATGCTGTACCCATCAAATAACAACTCCCCATTCCCTTCCCCCCACCCTCATGCCCCTGGCCACCACCCTTTATTCCCTGTTTCTTTTATTTGACTAGACACTTCATCTAAGTGGAGTCGCAGTGTTTGTCTTCTTGTGACTGGCTTATTTCACTTAGCTCAGGGTCCTCAAAGTGCATTCATGTGGTATGTGTTAAAATTTCCTTCCTTTTGAAGGCTGACGTATAGATGATGTATAATATCCACTTGGATGTATATACCACATTTCATCTAGTCAGTCTAGGGGGACACTTGGGTTGCTTCCCCCTTGGTTATCGGGATGAATGCTGCTGTGAAAATGGCTGTGCCGTATCTCTTGGGGACCCTGCTTTCAACTCTTTGGTACATACCCAGCAGTGAGATGCTGGGTTATACAGTAATTCTGTTTTTAGTCTTTTGTGGCGCCGCCATACTGCTTCCTGTCGTGGCTGCACTGTTGACTTTCTATCAACAGCTGCAGAGGTTCCAGTCTTCATGTCCTCATCAGCACTTGTTATTTTTGTCTTTCTGTAGGCCTTCTCCTGGGTGTGAGGTGCTGCCTCACTGTCGTGATTTGTATTCCCCACTGATGGGTGCTGTTGAGCATCTCTGCACATGCTTATTGGTATAGAGTTAATTTTTAACCTTTTTTTGTCTCTTAAAATGCATTCCATTAGCATGGTTTTGGAATATATTAAATTGAACCACAGGACATTTTTGATACTTGACTAAGATTGTTCCACCTGCCGTGTATCATTTAGAAATTCATACGCATTTCAGGGGCACATGCCCAGCTGAGATTGGAGGCGCTTAAGCTGGAATTCAAAGGGCAGGTTGCCTTGGGGGAAGTGGTGTCTGACCCACTGTCAGGAGTCATTCACGGGCCCTGTGCCCTGTGTGCTGTGCAGAAAAGTCCACACAGGGTTTGTACCTGCTAAGCTCAAGGTTGGTAGCAGGTGGGAGCTGGGAGCTGGGCCAACTCTGGAAGGATGTGCATCTTGTAAGGCTGAGAGTTTTACCCTGAGTGACTCATTTTCCTGCTGTCATCTGACCGGATGAGATTTATGGGCTGATGAGTGACACCAGTTAGACCTAGGAAGCATGCCACTAGGAAACCCCGCTGGTCCATACTCCTCTGGGGCCAGGATCCCTCGCCTAGGCTTTGTTACCAGGGCCTGTGTCCAACCTCAGTACAAAATACCTTTGCAAAAATTCAGCATGACCCAGGCAGAGTTCTGGGTGCTAGGAGCCCTGCTGCAAAGCAAACGAGCGGGAGGCATACAGAAAATGAACAAATACATGTGTTTTTTGGATGGTGCCATTTTGAAGAGATCCATGAAGTGGGGAAGAGGTGCAGTTTTTAGAGGCCAGGAAAGGCCTCTGGCGTCCTGAGGGAGAGGCAGCAAACGAGGCAGGTAACCTGGAGGAAGAACTTTCCAGACAGGAAGGCAAAAGCCCCGGCTTCGGGGAGCAGCAAAGCCAGAGAAGAAGGGGGAAGGCACGCGGCAGGGGCTGCCCTTCACAGCAGGACGGCCTGTCTCTTCCTCCCCGGGGCCGAGCCCTGATGCAAATCTCCAGCCGGGCTCCAGGGCCCAGGGCCCGGTGCGGGTGAGACCCAGGCAGGGCAGGCCTGGCCGGCTCGGGAAGACTCACCATGAGAATGCACAGTGGCCTTGAACTTAGGTTTAAATCTAAGAGGCCTTGAGTTGGAAAGGTGGGTTAGAAGGATAAAAGGGTCTTGAACCTGAGTGGGAGTTGAGCTTTGATTTTTGATTTTTTAATTTTTTTGACAATAGGAAAATACTGCAAGTTCTTGAGCAACGTGCTGCCACAATCAGTGCAAGAGAGTAGGTATTAGGAAATGAAATGTTAGGATTTGAAGGATGGCTTAGAGCAGGGCAAGAAGATGGAGGTAGGAAGACAAGGGAGCCGATGGGTGTGTGAGGAGGGGCCAGGGCTGCAGAAAGGAGACGCGCCGGGAAGACTTGATGCCGATTTGGAGCCAGACCAGGGAGTGGGCCTGGACCCTTAAGGAAAAGAACAATCCAAGTAAATTTGAAGATCTAATTGGTTTTATTAAGTGATTCGTGAATCGGGCAGCATCCTGACTAGCAAGTAGAGAAATGCTCCAAGGAGTTGTGCAAAATGGAAAGTTTTTACAGTCAGGGGAGGCAAAACCTTATTAGCAAAAGAAGAGATTAGGGAAGGTGACCCTCCCTCAGGAGGAGCAGGGGGTCTTAGCAGATGACCTCACTAGGAAGTTCCAAACTGGTTCAAAATTCTTCTTGGAGAGGCTGAAATTGCAGTAAGGTTGGACATTTAGCCCCAGTTTGGTGACTCGTCCTGGAAGTGACCCCATGTTGGGCCTGTGCTTCTCTTTTTAACAAATTGGAGGGGCTGGGATATATTCTGAGGCCAGAGGAGGTGAGTGGGAGCAAAAGGGTGGGTCTGCAGTGGGGACGTTGGTGTGTAGGGTCACCAGAGGGGGTGTGGGGATTGTAGAAACAAACCAATTCGATCTTAGGGGGGTTACGTTTTCAATGCTCATTCATGTAAACTGATGGGTATTTTGCTTCATCTTCCACTAAATCAGGGTAGCAATCTTTATGCATCTGAGACAAAAAGTCCCCAAACCGTCTGAATCCGAGCAAAAGTTGCTCACTCAGGATGAGAACCAACAACAGTCCCTTATACCTCAAATTTGAGCCAATTGAACAAAAACCAGGAACCGTGCCTTATCATTGAGGCATATTTCAGGATTTTATTTCTGAAGTCTGTTCAAGACAGATGTCCCTTGTGGAAAACACCACAGGCCTGGGGACATTCCTTTTCAAGCCGCAAACCATGACCGACGGGCAATCAGATCTCACTGCTCCAAGCTTACTCCGCATGCGTCTGGGACTGGAGGCGAGCTGGGGCTCTCCGCTCATGACTGAAGCTCACGCTGTACACGGTGGACAATTTCCTCCAAGAAAGCTGATTGTGGTTTTGCACCAGTTGTAGGTCATCCACTTACTGAGTAAATGTTGAGCGCTCCACACTGTTCAAAGAGGTCAGAGTTTGAGTGTGGGAGAGTGTAGCCCCTAGGAAATAAGGCTGGGCTTGGAGGGGGGGTGGTCCCTCCAGAACCGCTTTTCCTGGTGCTCAGTGTCAGCCCAGCTGGAGGCAGAGCCCGTTGAGGGCAGGTGGGTGGCTGTTTCTGAGGCCCCCCTGAACCCCCAAAGGCTGGCACAGCTCCCTCACTGCCTCCTTGCCCTCCCTGGGCTGGGAGTGGAGGCTAACCACCCTCACTCACTCTTCCCAGTTAATAGCCTCAGTGTCCCAAGAGCCAGATCCCCGGAAGTTGTGGACATTCCCTGGGCTCCAGGCCTGGGGATGTTTATTCTATGGGTGGAGGGTGAGAAAGGAAAGGAAGATGTTGCAATCCACTCTGAGCCGCGCCGCTGCGTCATCTGGGAGGGGAGGGCTGTGGGCGGTTAAGGGGAGGTCAGGGGCAAAGGCGGGACACCTGAAAAGGAGCTTACTAGCTCGGGAGCCCCGCCTCAGGCCACCGAGCTCCCCAGCAGCCGGCAGCCGGAGGAGATGGAGCGGCCCAGCCCACGCACCCGGCCTCCCGCCCCTGACTTCGCTTGATAACAAACCAGAAACTGAAACAGTGTCAGGATTCCCGGCTTGAAGTCACTGATGAGTCACTGCTAAGAGCAGCTGCAGTAGCCGAGAAGTGGCGCCAGAGAGGCAGGCGTGAGCTGAGGGCACAGAAGGCGGGCAGGTGAGAGGGAGCTGGGGCACCGGGCTCCAGGCGCTTCTCCCCAGGAACGGCCAGGGGAGGCGGTGGGAGGGAGCCTCCTGGTCCTGAGGCTGCCAGGCTGAGGAAGCAGGTGGGGTGGCGAGAGGCCAACTTCCCCTGTTGCCAGGTGGCGTTTGTGACAAAGGGCAGGGTGGAGAGTGCAGGCCGGCTGGGTGGTGGCTCAGATGTCTGGGCCCTCGGTTGGCCCTTGAGTGATGTGCCCCCCACACCCCTCTCTCCAGCCAATCTGAGGATCCTGGCGAATGATGGCAAGCAGGGCTGAGGTGGAGGCCACGGGTCGCGAGGTGGTGGCCATGGACTGTGAGATGGTGGGGCTGGGGCCCCACCGGGAGAGCGGCTTGGCCCGTTGCAGCCTGGTGGACCTCCACAGCACCGTGCTCTATGACAAGTTCATCCGGCCTGAGGGGGAGATCACCGACTACAGAACCCAGGTCAGCGGGGTCCTGCCTCGGCACATGGAGGAGGCCACGCCGTTTGCAGTGGCCAGGCTGGAGGTGAGTGGAGGGCCATATGCCAGCCAGACCAAGTGGGCTGCGGACACCCTGCTGCACACACACGCGTACTTCCCTGGCACTTTCCCAGGGGTGCCAGGTTAGTGACCTGTGACTCCAGCGGTGTTGGATTCCCTGCCACCCCTGCATGGGGAGAACCAGGGTGTGAAGAAACCTGTTGCCATCTCATCACACCCCTTATAAGGCCTCCTGCCATTGGACAACCTTAGACTCGCACCTGGGAACATCTGGGCCACCTTGCTGGCCTTGCAGTGGGAAAACTGAGTCACACGTGATGTTCCTCCCACAGTGATTTGGGGGCTGGGTTCCTCTTTCTTTCCTCTGTCCTGGGCTGCCTCTGGTGAGCCCTGCAGGGAAATGAGCAACAGGTGCGGGGCAGAGGCCCTTACTGGCCAGGCCCTTGGTGGTGGGCCGTGCTGGTCCTGGAGAACAGGCCAGAGCCCCCCGGGCTGGGGCGCAGCTTGCTCCCAGATCCTGGCAGGCTGCCCATCAGTTTTAAGTCAGCATGTGGTCCCTAGATGTCCCACCCTCTCGCCCTTCACCTTGTGGCATCTTCTCCAGGTCTAACTTTCTGTTTCTCTGAACTACCAAATGGAAAGTAAACCCAGCCACTGGAGCATCAGGGCTAGTCACTTCTGGGAAGGTTTAGAAGGGCAAGAGAACTCATCAGTTTCTAGGCTGCTAGGCTTGGGGAAGCCCAAGAAGAGCACAGAGAATTGAGTTTCGTCAAAACGCTGCACAGCGCATGTGTGCCAGGCTCCAGAGATAAATCCACTGTAGCTACTGTTTGCTCAGCCCTGGCTCCTGGCTGGATGTGCTCCTAAGAGCTCACCATCTACGAGCTCGTTCATACCTCACAGAGTGGCCTGCCAGGAGGGTTTCTCAGGGTGAAGAGGGTCAGCTTTGAATCCCCTGCTGCTCACTTACCCGCTAAGTTTCTTGGGGCACATCAGTCAACCTCTCTGGACCATTTCCCCACCTGTCAAAGAGAATAGAGATAATTCTAGCAATTCATAGGATTATTGTGAGGATGAGAAAGTGCATAGAGTGCCTATATCTGTACGGTCCTCAAAAACTATTAGCCATTATGACCTATTCCCCTGTTATCCCCATATTGCAAATGGGGACACTGAGGCTCATTTGAACTAAGTGCATTGATTTGCTAGAGCTCCTATAACAAAGTACCACGCACTGGGTGGCTTATTCAATAGAAATATATTGACTTACGGTTCTGGAGGCTGGAAGGACAAGATCAAGGTGTCAGCAGGGCTGGTTCAATCTGAGGCCTGCGAGGAAGGATCTGTCCCAGGGAGATGGTAGCTGGCCCAGTGCTTCAAGGGTAGAACATGGAGTCCTGCTCAGAGTGGGCACTTCACAGCCATTCAAGGAGTGAGGCAGGGACCTAAGATCTTTGAGCCGTTGGTCTTTGAACCCCGTCTGGGGTTCACATTTCCTGCTGCATCCCTTACTGGTCTGTGTGACCTTCAGCAAGTTACTGAACTTTTCTGAGCCTTGTGGCTTCATCATCAGAGGAAGGGGAGTATTAATGTGTCTCCCAGGCCTCACATAGGTGGAAGTAGTCACACAGCCCCTAGCCCTAAAAACTGCCTGGTTCCTGGCTGGTGGTCACTAAATATGCCCTTGGAACAAGAAGGGTAGAAATCTGGATTATAGATCTGAGTCCCCTTTCCGACTTCCCTTGATTCTATCCCATTTTCTGCCTGCTACCCCGGGTATGCTTGCCACCAATCTCTCCTACCCGGCTCCCAGAGAAACCTCCCCGGCCTGGCTCAGATCACAGCCTCCCATGACTCCCCATTGCCCAAGGTCCCCCTAGCCTGGCATTCATGACCCCAACCTGCCTGCCTTTCCTGTCTTCTCTGACAGCTCAGCCAGCCCCCACCCTGTGCTTTCAGCCCACCCCCTACTCTCCCCTCCCCACCCTAGAAATGCTACCATTCAGACCAGAGGAGTCCTTCATGATGCCCTTCCCCACCCCTGCCCACCATCCCGCCCCGTCCCACTGGACACCCCAGTCTCTCGCCTTCCTTGCTGTGGCCCATGCACTTAAAAGCTTGCCTATCCACATGCCCGCTATATACTCTACCTGCCCCCCGACTGGACATCAGGCTTTGCACACAGAACGTGCCCTGAGAGTGTTTGTGGGATTGGAGTTGAATTGATTTTCACAAAATACAGGAGTTCTGGCAGCTTCGTGGCCCAAAATTACCTCTGCCTTCATGCTGCCGAGACGCAGTAGCACCCCCGCATGGATGAGGGGGTGAGGAGCAAGCTTGCTGTCTTTAGACTTAGCTGGACGTAGGACTCTGCTGCCCAGTTCCTCTCTGCCCTCCAGCTTGTCGCTGACCCCTCTGTGCCCCCCAGTTACAGGATCGTCTGTAACATGGGAGCAATGCAGTGGCACAGGTGTATCCAGCACTATGCCCAGGCACTGTTCTAGGCACGTGTCTCACACCACCACTCTGGGAGGTAGTTAGGTGCAGTACCCTCACTTCATTTTACAGATGAGCAAACTGAGCCACAAGGCTGAGCGAACTGTTCGAGAAGGGGGTGAACAGAGACTCAAATTTTGGCTTCAGAGCCTGCTCTGGGATGTTCCGATCCTATGATGAATATGTGTAAATGGACTACAGGAATGCCACGTGTATGATTATTTCACGGACATGTCTGCACGTGAGCACATGGTACAAGGCCACAGCTGTCACTTGTTTTCATGAATGAGAACACGGAAGCAGCTGGAGTCCAGTCATCGCCCATAGTATTTTAATCCCAAAGACAGACCAGGTTCACAGGCTCCAACATACTGGAAGGGTGGGGGAACCCCAAAGGGTAGAAGCCCATCAGCCATTCATCCGACCTCACAAGGGTGGTGATGCCTCTCAGGTGAGTCTCACCAGCCTGTGGTTTCATGCAGGCATTTCTGAAGGTCTGCTCACCAACCTGTCTCTTCCTCCCATGGCAGCTGATGAGTAGACCAGTCAGCGGTGAGCCGCAGACCAGCCCGTGGCAGCCAGAGGGGCTCTTGGGAGCCCCTGAGCATACCCACCCCAGGTCTACCCAGGAGCTCCCTGCCGCAGGGCCCTGAGATTGAGTGGGCTCTTGCCACCCCACCCCTCTTTTTTTCTTTTTATGTTTTGTTATGTGGTTACATTATTTGTATGATGTAGAGTAGTTTCCTGTTGTCTTCTAACATCTCCAGGTCTGGCTGTTTAGAGCAGTGATTCTCAACGCAGGGTGATTTTGCTCCCCAGGGGACATTCAGCAATATATGGAGACATTTCTGGGTGTCGTAAGTGGGGAGGGGACCCTGCTAGTGACATCCAGTGGGTAGAGCCAGGAATGGTGCTAAACACAGGACAGGCCACCCCCCACCATACATCCCCCCCAAATAGTCTCCTAATGCCATAGCATCTCTAGAGAGAGCCCCCCAGAGCAGCTGTCGGTGTTGCCCAGTAATGGTAAGCAGCATCTACCCTGTGGCTGGGCTTGGGGACGGGTAATGACATTTTCGGTTTGCAAGCAAGGAAACAGAGTCTCGCGGAGCATCGTAGTTTAGGAGGGAGACACAGGCAGAAGGGAGGCCGTAGCAGCTTGTGGACAGATTGTCGTGTCAGCTGCAGCCAGTGCCACAGCCTTGCCCGGGCCCGAGTGCCCTGCTGGGGCCCCATTGCCAGGCAGGGGTCTCTGGGCTGGGCCCCACGGAGGCGGACGACCCCATCATGTGAGTCTCCCCAGGGAAAGTAGGCTTGCGGGAGGCAGGCACAAGCCAGGGGCAGGGGCACCCAGACAGCTTGGGAGGGGGCAGGGGGAAAGAGGGGCATTGGAGCCACCCCTGAAGGTGACAGTAAGGGACCTGGGCCTCAAGGACAACACTGCTTCAGAGTCCCTTACAGCCACCTCTCCTGGCAGCTGGGAATGAGTGAATGAGTGAATGGCAACATAAACTAATGAAAGGTTGGGTGGAGGCTTGCTGGTGGAAGCAGCAGGCCAGGAGTTGCAGGTCAGGCTTCAGGGCAGAGGTTTCCGACCCCAGCGGACGTGCTCCTCCACCCTGCTGATTGATTCTGTGGGCCTGGAGTAAGCCTGGCCCTTTGGATTTTCAACAGGGGCTGCAGGGGACTTTTAAAATCAGGTGCATCTGGGACGTACTTGGAGTTAGAGCAGAAAAACAATGGAAGGAGTAGACAGGCAGTAGCTTGGACCTGTTACTCCCCCGCCCTATGGTGTGGGTTTGCATCTCTGGGCCCCCCTTTCCCTGTTGGTAGGATGGTATGATAATCCCCACTTTACAGGGGCTCTACTCCCGACAGAAGAAATCTTTGCTGAGTATTGGTGTGGGCCCGGCAGGGCTCTCCGCTCTGAACTTCATGCCAATATGGCCCCAGGTTCTCAGGAGGTGGTAATAATCATTACAACTATAACAACAGTGACAGGGTCAGGTGGATCTGGACACCACATATCAGTTGTCAAAACTCACCAGCTGTGTGACCTGGGCAAGTGTCTTGATCTCTCCGACTCCCAGGCAGCTCCTCAGGAAAAGGGAACTAAGAATGTTTCTGTTAGAAGGCCTCATGATGAGGCGAGCTGAGTACCTGGCACAGCGCTAGGCTGATAAGAGCAGGTGTGAGTGTCTCCTCCACCCTCCCCATTCCAGTTCTTTCCAGGAATTTGGGTCTCTGCCCCTGCACCTCACACACCTGCCGCATGACACTGACTCAGGTTAGGTCCCCAGCCAGCAGGTCACACGGCCCTGAGGTGCAGCCAGCTGGCACTGCCCGCAGCCCTCCCTGGGTGCCAGCAGGTGCCTCTTCCTTCCCCAGCCCTGCCTTAGGAAGCTGGGGTCACCCTGGCTGCCAATGGGCTGCTGAAGCCTCACCTCTCCAGGTCCTTGCCTTACACCTGGGGAAACTGAAGCCCAGAGATGCCCCTGACATCCCTGAGGCCACACAGCAAGTCTCAGCGGTCTTTGTCTGCCCAGTGCCCAGCACCGTTTCTGGAGAATGGTTGGCATCTCTCTGCTGAACGGACTGCTTCTGCTTCCTTCTGCTCATCCACCCAACACCTCTCACTTGTTCACAGTGAGTCCTGTGGGGCTAAACGAAGCCCTCACAGGGACCCCCCGCCCCCACCCCACCCCGGCCCAGGCCTGGAAGTGATGACTTTCCCAGGAATCCACTCCCAGTGACCTGGCCCCTCGCTCCCGGGCCTGGCTGCCACTGTCTCTGGGCTGGCATACAGTTCTCAGGGCTTTGTGGGACCTGGGCCTGCGCCAGCTCCTGGACAGGAAAACAGGCCACATTGTTCAGAAACATAAAGGATGTCAACAAGAAGAGGCATGTGACCCACAGCCGCCCAGCGTCCAGCCCAGCCTCATCGCCACCCCGCCACCCTGGGCACATCACTCTCCTTGCCCCCCATACGCTGGGTGGTACCCTTTCCTCCACACATAGGTTACCCCTGAGCTGCTGCTTTGAGGTTGTGCCCCTCACCACTCAGGGTGGCCCCCAGACTGGCAGGGCTGGCCCCACCTATTAGAAATACAGACTCCAGGACCCAAATCCAGATTTTGGCAAGATTCGCGGGGTGACTCCTAAGCCCAGGTGTGAGAAGCACTGGTGTCCATCAGGAGCTGCACAGCGTCGTTCCCTGGGCAAGCTTCCCCAGCCCCTGGGTTGAGCATGGTGTCTGTCCTGCGAAAGCCCCCAGTAAAACCCTGTGGGCCATGGGGTGGTCTGGTAACATGGCCTGTTATCGGTGGACGGGCAGACGCTGCTTCATGCTGTCAAACCATGGACAAGTCACCTCCCCTCCGAGCCTCAGCTTCATCTGCTGAAAAGTGGCCGTAATGACCTATGGTCGCAGAAGGACAGCATATCGAAGGCCCCCTGTGATGTCTCAGGAGGCCACTGGCAGCAGACGCAGGACCCGGGAGGGTGTCAGCCATCCAGGCGCAGGTACAGTCTGGACTGAGCACAGAGCAAGGGACAAGCTGTCAGCCGTCCTAAGGGGGGCCTGAGATGGTTGCGAGCTGCCCTGATATGCTCACCCCCAGACCCTCCTTCCATGCTCTTCAGTAGCAGCCGTGGTCCAGAAAGGCGGCTGGTCTGTGTAGTCAGAGGTAGGAGGCTTTCCGTAGGGCCATCCTAGAGAAGAGTAGAGAACGGAGACAAGAGGAGGGGCACCTGTGCAGAGCTCTGGGCTGGGGCAAATCTCGGGGTGGCTCCCCGGAGCTCGGCTGCTGGGCTGGTGGAGGCCTGGAGCAGGTGGTGACCGGCAGGCACTGGCTTTGCACGCCGGTACTGCCACTAATGCGCTGCGTGTCTGTGCCGGTATCTAACGGTGCTTTTCCAAACACCCAAAACAACAGTGGTTCAAACAGTGTCCATATTTATTTCACTTGAGCACCTGCCAGTTGGTCAGTCCTCGGTGGAAGGGGACAGCGGGTCAGCTGCGGCATCTTGCAGGCCCAGGGCCGAATCACCGAAGGTTCGCTCACCCAGCGGTCCGCTGGCTGGTGCTGGGGCTTCTCAGGCGCATCCCTCTGTCTCCTTGGTGCCCCCAGCATGATGGCTTTGGGCTCGCTCAGGGCTCCCAGGATCCCGGCCCTGCAGAGAAGTCAGAAGTCACACAGGCCGGCCCAGGTTCAGGGCCAGGGGAACTGGACTCCATCTTTGGTGAGGAATGTCGAGGAATCTGTAAACTTTCTGTAAAATCATCAGAATCGCCAAGGGCAAATGATCTCCCTTTCTCCGAGGTTCTGTTTTTTCATTTGCAAAATTCAGTTAAGTACAGCCCTCCCCCATAGCTGTATTAGGTTTCTATGGCTGCTGTAACAAAACCATTAACTTAGAGGCTGAAAAACAGCACAGATTTATTATCTCACTGTTTTATAGCTCAGAAGGCCGACTCGGGTCTCCCCGGGGAGAACTCCAGGGCTCCGCAGGGCTGCCTCCTTTGTGGAGCGTCTGCGGGAGAATCGAGCTCCCTGCCCTGTCACCTCCCAGCAGCCACTGTGCTGCTTGACCCACGGCCCCTTCCTCCACCTTCAAAACCGGCAGCTGCATATCCAGCTGTCTCGTCAAAGCACTCTGACCTCCACATACAAGGGACCCTATGATGATATTGGACCCACTTGGAAAAATCTGGAAAATCCTCCCTATTTTAAGGTCATCTGATTAGCAACCTGAATTCCATTTGCAACTTTAATTTCCCCTTGCCATGTGACATGTACAGGTCCTGGAAGCGAGGAGGTGTCGCCTTTGGGAGGTAATTACCCTGCCAGCCACAGCAAGGTTGTTGAAGGGCTTGAACAATGTAATGTTAAGTATTAAACACTTAGCTGTGTGCTTGGTCCGTGGGACTGCTTGGTGGGTGCTGGCCAGTGTGATTATACACAAAGCCCCCTGAGGGAGCTGGGATGGGCCTTTAGCACAGAAGCAAAGGGGGGCCTGGGCTAGTCTCCTCATTTCACAGATACTAAGCTGGAAGCCCAGAGAGGGATGGTCATTTGCTCAAAGTCACCCAGCAAGTCGAGGAGGGACTGCTCCCTTGCGGGCCCCATGATGGCAGCAGGTTGGCCCGGACCCGCGTGGGGGACCCTGCTCTCTGGTCGTTGGCGTGTGATGTGTGATGTGTGGGGCACATTTCTTCCCGGCCAGATCCTGCAGCTCCTGAGAGGCAAGCTGGTGGTGGGTCACGACCTGAAGCATGACTTCCAGGCACTGAAAGAAAATATGAGCAGCTACGCCATCTACGACACGGCCACTGACAAGCTGCTGTGGCAGGAGGCCAACCTGCAGCACTGCCAGCGTGTCTCCCTCCGCGTGCTCAGCCAGCGCCTCCTGGGCCGCAGCATCCAGGTGAGGACCTCCCCCCTCCCGCCGGGACCCGAAGGCCCCCAGCGGCTCCGGAGGCCCCCAGCGGCTCTGGAACAAACATTTGACCCCAAAGACACCCTGTCTCCCCCACAGTCCCGTGAGGCTGCGTGCTTGTGCAGGCAGCGGTGCCTGTGGGCTTCCCCAGGAGGCCCAAGATGAGCATGGGGATGCAGGAAGTTTATGTAGGCAGTGACCCCACTGGTAGAGTGGGAGTGACAGGCAGGGAAGGGAAGGCACCCGGCAAAGGTTTGTTTGTTCTCAAAGCCAAGCCTGTTACCCTGTGGGTAGCTGAAGCTTAATCTCACTTCAGAACTCTGGGAAATGGTGTAAAACAGACCCCAGATCTATACGGGGAGCTGGGATGTTTGCACACAGCTCCCATCAGGCATCCTGATACTGCTCCTGGGGCCCTAATTCCTCAGGACTTCTAGATGCTTCTAGTCTCAGGCAGGCCCCAGGGGAAGCATGCAGTGCTGGGAGGTGGAAGGCCTGAGGGAGGTGGGCCAGCCGCTAGGAGCCTCAGCTATGAGTGGGGGCCTTCCAGCCTAGTAGTCACTAAGCACCTACTTTGGGCCAGATGCTGGGACACGGGGGGAGCGAGGCTGGACCCTGTCCTTGGGGAAGCCTTGATAGGATGGAGTCTGGCCCAGAACTGGATCATCAGCACATGCTGTGGGGAGGGTCCAATGGAGGGAAGCGCGGGTGTCCTGGCAGCAGGGGTGAAGGATGGGTGCCCGGGCAGAAGGCCAGATCTGAATGGAGTTTAAAGGGTCCGTCTTAGTGGGGGAGGGCAGGGGAGGAGCCCCGGGGAGAGGGGAGCAGGAGCCCCAGCCTGAGGTGCGAGGAACACCTTGACTGGGCCAGTAGGAATCCTGTAGGTCAGGCCCCTCTGTGAGCCTTTGTAGGACACGGTGGCCTGCACACCGATTCACCGAGTAACACTGTTCTCAACCTGCTGAGCCAGTAGCACGTGAGAAATATGGCTCTTACGTATTCTCTTTTGACACATGTCCCTGTGCCCTGGGCTTCCCCACTTCAGCCCCTCTCCCCCACGGACTGTAAGCATCCTAAGGGCTCAGCCCAGAGCACAGGTGAAGCCAGGCCTGCTGAGTCCAGGGTGTCGGAAGCCTGGGGAGACTCGCCCACTGACCCCCCTTGAGGCCCTGGAAACTGGGGCTTGAGCAGAGAAGGCCCGGGTCCCATGCAGACTCTGCGTCAACCCTGGCCCCAGTCCCCAATCTGTACCTGTGCCTGCAGAACAACCAGTTTGGACACAGCTCCGTGGAAGACGCCAGGGCGACGATGGAGCTCTACCGAGTCTCCCGGCAAATCCGAGCCCGCAGAGGGCTGCCCACCTAGAGGTGGCAGACTGAAGCTCCACTCACCCCCATGCCCAGGGGCGAGAGGCCCTCGTCTCTGCAGACAGCAACTCCCTTGCTTTTGGAAAATGCATCTTTAGTAATAAAATGGCTCTTTATTTTCTTTACTCCGTCATCAGATCCTCCTGTGTTCCCCTTCTTTTCTCTGAGCCAGGAGTGGACAGGACCCGCTGTGATGACCCCCAGCGGCTCCGGAGGCCCCCAGCGGCTCTGGAACAAACATTTGACCCCAAAGACACCCTGTCTCCCCCACAGTCCCGTGAGGCTGCGTGCTTGTGCAGGCAGCGGTGCCTGTGGGCTTCCCCAGGAGGCCCAAGATGAGCATGGGGATGCAGGAAGTTTATGTAGGCAGTGACCCCACCGGTAGAGTGGGAGTGACAGGCAGGGAAGGGAAGGCACCCGGCAAAGGTTTGTTTGTTCTCAAAGCCAAGCCTGTTACCCTGTGGGTAGCTGAAGCTTAATCTCACTTCAGAACTCTGGGAAATGGTGTAAAACAGACCCCAGATCTATACGGGGAGCTGGGATGTTTGCACACAGCTCCCATCAGGCATCCTGATACTGCTCCTGGGGCCCTAATTCCTCAGGACTTCTAGATGCTTCTAGTCTCAGGCAGGCCCCAGGGGAAGCATGCAGTGCTGGGAGGTGGAAGGCCTGAGGGAGGTGGGCCAGCCGCTAGGAGCCTCAGCTATGAGTGGGGGCCTTCCAGCCTAGTAGTCACTAAGCACCTACTTTGGGCCAGATGCTGGGACACGGGGGGAGCGAGGCTGGACCCTGTCCTTGGGGAAGCCTTGATAGGATGGAGTCTGGCCCAGAACTGGATCATCAGCACACGCTGTGGGGAGGGTCCAATGGAGGGAAGCGCGGGTGTCCTGGCAGCAGGGGTGAAGGATGGGTGCCCGGGCAGAAGGCCAGATCTGAATGGAGTTTAAAGGGTCCGTCTTAGTGGGGGAGGGCAGGGGAGGAGCCCCGGGGAGAGGGGAGCAGGAGCCCCAGCCTGAGGTGCGAGGAACACCTTGACTGGGCCAGTAGGAATCCTGTAGGTCAGGCCCCTCTGTGAGCCTTTGTAGGACACGGTGGCCTGCACACCGATTCACCGAGTAACACTGTTCTCAACCTGCTGAGCCAGTAGCACGTGAGAAATATGGCTCTTACGTATTCTCTTTTGACACATGTCCCTGTGCCCTGGGCTTCCCCACTTCAGCCCCTCTCCCCCACGGACTGTAAGCATCCTAAGGGCTCAGCCCAGAGCACAGGTGAAGCCAGGCCTGCTGAGTCCAGGGTGTCGGAAGCCTGGGGAGACTCGCCCACTGACCCCCCTTGAGGCCCTGGAAACTGGGGCTTGAGCAGAGAAGGCCCGGGTCCCATGCAGACTCTGCGTCAACCCTGGCCCCAGTCCCCAATCTGTACCTGTGCCTGCAGAACAACCAGTTTGGACACAGCTCCGTGGAAGACGCCAGGGCGACGATGGAGCTCTACCGAGTCTCCCGGCAAATCCGAGCCCGCAGAGGGCTGCCCACCTAGAGGTGGCAGACTGAAGCTCCACTCACCCCCATGCCCAGGGGCGAGAGGCCCTCGTCTCTGCAGACAGCAACTCCCTTGCTTTTGGAAAATGCATCTTTAGTAATAAAATGGCTCTTTATTTTCTTTACTCCGTCATCAGATCCTCCTGTGTTCCCCTTCTTTTCTCTGAGCCAGGAGTGGACAGGACCCGCTGTGATGCGGTCCTGAGAGAGCCACGAAGACTGAGCTGGGGTGGATGGGGGGCGGACGTCAGTTTCCTTCATGTCTTGAATCCCGACGGAGCTCCAGGACTCTAGGTGGCCTGTGACTCAATAAATAACCTTGCCTGTACCTTCCCTTCCCACTTGCATTTATGTCCTGAGGGGTGGCATTATTTTCTGGAGGGGGCATCCAGCTCAGAGGCCCTTTCATCTCATCTTGAAATCAGCGCCATGGCACTGGTGTGCTTCAAAGCAAAGGGACAGAGGGTGTGAGGGTACAGAGGTCACCCCTAGTGACCTTCAGCAAGTCATCCCTCCTCTTATTTGTGAAACAAAGAGTAAGCAAAGATAGTAGGACTCTGGGGCCAGAGTCCCGGTTGGGGTCCTGGTTTTTCCAGTTAGTAGCTGTGTGACCTAGGGCACGTTACTTAACAGAATCTGTAAAATGGGCTTTTATGCTAACAATTCCTAGGATTCCTGTGACATGTTGCATACAAAGCTCCTAGCACCATGTCTTGCCAATGGGTTTCAGCCCCGGGCAAGCTCAGTATGGATTCAGTGAGACAGAGGAATGACAATGGAACGTTCTGAGGGTAAAAGGGTTTATTACCCGGCTGGTTCTCCCCACAATAGGTTGAACACTGGTATCAAATCTGCATTCAGCAGTCTGCAGGCCTGTAATCCTCCTTCTTTTCTGCCTCTTCCCAGAGCACTGGGCAGAGAGAGCTCTTTATATAGTGACTCAGTCAACAATAGCTTATCGCCTAAAGGTGTGGAAGCAGTAGCCCAGCAGCAGGCCAGTTACACCATCAAGCAGTTTAGGGTCAGGTGAGGACCCTGGCGTAGGAACCCCCTTTTCCCCACACACTGTCTCTGTCATAGCCTAAGCACTCACCAGATGTCAGAAACTGGTGGCTATCCTCTGGACCACCCACTGGTCCAGGGAGCCCCAGGGAGAGCAGGTGCCCTCTTCTGCAGGACCCAGCGCTCTGAAGGAAGGGTGTGCGTGGCGTGTGGTGAGGGGGTCCAAACCTGAGCAGTGACTGCTCCTTAGAATCAGCTGCAGTCCTGGTACTTGAATCCATGCCTTTGACTCCACTAAACCAGAACTCCTGGGGGTGGGTGGCGGCAGGTGCATCTGATACCTGGGCATTTGAATCATCTGAGGTGCTTTTTAAGCAAGCCCAGTACCTAAGCACAGTGTTCTGCTTGGCTGTGTGCCAGCGTCACTGGGAGGGGGCTGGACCCCAGTCCCAGAGTTTCTGATTCAGTATATCCACGCAGAGCCCCAGGGTCTGCATTTACAGCAAGTTCCCTCTCGATGCTGGCCCGGGAATAGCTCTGAGAGGCACTGCCTCAGCATCAGGTGGCCACATGCAGCCACGGTGGAGAGCCACTGGCCTACAGGCTGAGTGTCCCCAGGGTGGGCCCCTGCTGCTGGCCCAGGCTTGCTCTTCCATGTTCCTTGGCTTCCTGCTCATGCAGAGAGAGAATCTCAGCTCTGCAAAATGTGTCTTATGTAGCACTTAAATGCATTTTGAGGGGCTTGAGGTAAGGTTAAGGACCCAGGGGCTTCAAGTCCAGGCCTGCCCTACTCAAACTTGAGTGTTTTTCACTAGATGACTTTACAGCAGCGGGTTCTCCGGGTCTGCGCGCTGCCCGCTGGGAACCTGGAGGCGCTCTCCCACACTGGCAGAGTGGCGTGGTGCAGCGGGCTCGCTCAGGGCTCCCCCCTGCCTTGTCTCCCAAGTTTCAGGCTTGTCCCCCTGCTACCATTTTTACAAACCTTCGAAGCTCCGGGATGCAGCTGCCTTGTCTGGCTGGGACCAGCCGCCAGGTGGTGCACGCGGGCCGTGGGTGGGCCAGGCTGCCTTAGGCACACTCGTCCTGAGGACCGACCGCTTTGGTGTGAGGCGTGAGGGGCTGTGCCCTCAAAAGTGGCTAGGTGGCTGCTCCAGACATCCTGCAGGCTGCCCTCACTCGGCCACCAAGCTAAGGCGCCCAGGGTCGCGGGACAGTGGTGCCGCCTGGCCCGAAGGTGAGCCCGGGCTCTCCCAGTCCCAGCCCAACTCTCTTGCCACAGTTTCAGGCTTCCTTGAAAGGAGACACAACTGGGATTCCCAGGGAAAAAGCATTCCCAGAGGCAGTCTCTAACCAGACTTCCTGCCTCCAGCTGTGGTGCTCAGATGCCCCCAGGGGAGAAGACACCTGGGGAGACGCCTGCCCGACCTCCCCAGCGGCCTCCAAGGTGAGGGTCAGGACCCCAAGGGGCCACGTGTGCTGTGGGCTCTGGCCCCATGCCCGGGGTCCTCGCCTTCTGTGCAGCCGGTCTCTCAGTGGCGTGAAACGTGAGGTCGTGTAAGAAACAAGAGACTCTGCGACCAGCTGTAGGGTCTGGCCGACCTGGGAGGCTGGGTGTCCCCACCCATCAAATGGGTTGAGAGGGCGAATTGAGATCTCATATGCAGGGGGCCCAGCCTCAGACTGCTGGGTGCTAGGAACCCATAAACAGCACCCATCACTACCCATCCTAGTAAAGCTGTCCCTCCAGGCCCCTGACCTACCAGGGTCCTGACACAACTGGAGTTGATGCCAGCCAACGCTGGGTTTATTTGTTGAGGTTGTCAAGGAGGGAGGAGGGGGAGATGGCATGTTTGCAGAGTGGCTGCTGTGTCACTAGTTCTGTCATCCCCAGCAGACCTGCTCCTGGTGGCTGGAGCAGCAGCTCAGAAAGCAGACCTCCAAACACTCAGGAGTCCCAGTGGTACCTAGTGGCCAGACTCATCCCTGGGCAACTTCTGCCTCAGTCGCCCCATCTGTAAAATGGGAATATTCGTCCCAACTGCCATAGCTATCATGGAAATAAACGGCCCCAGGGGAGTGCAGGCGCTGGGAGATCTGCCCCAGCCTGAACAGGCGTCAGATGGAATCTCATTCCCCAGGGGGCCACGCCCACCTGCTCTTCTGCCCTCAGTTCTGCAAAGTGCAGGCAGGGCCCAGTCCCGGCACACAGGCAGGAGGCAGAGCTGGGCTTGTGGCCACCGCCCTGCCTTCTGGTCCCCTCTCCCCAGGCCCTGTAGCTGCTCCACGTTGCTTCCCCAGGTCAGTGTCCCCCTGCCTTCCTACCCCACCTTCCCTCCAACCCACTGCTGCTGGGCCGGGAGAGGCCACGCTTCTTCACCTTGTCTCTTCTAGCTCCAGTCACCGTGCACCTGCCCCGGCGCCCTCCCCAGGCCCTGCTCAGGGAGGGAAGGGCAGGTGAGTGGCTGTGCTGCCCTGGGCAGCAAGAACCAGTCCCCGGAGACCATGGTAGACCCCAGCACGATGGCAGTGCGAGGAGGGTGGGGAGTGTACAGGGGTGGCGGGTTCCGGCCAGGTGGGAGCTCTGCTGGCA